TCAAACCTTTTTCCAACACACTCAGTTCTTGTTCCTTCATTTTTCTAGTTGTTAAATCAATAACGTTCGATTCAGTCATAGAAATGTTATTATTAGTTACTGCACTTTCTTCTTTTTCTTTTTCTGTTTCATTTACTAATTTACACCATTTTCGATACAGTCTTCTTTTAATATTCTGCCTAATCCTACGACCAATAATTTCAATATGCCTACACCAAATTGGTAAATCGTTCAAATCATATGGTATCTCTTGAATCTGTTTATCTATATCACTAATTAATTTCGTCAATTTGTTAATTCCACTATAGTTTTTCCTAATGACCCCATTCATCAACTTAATGCTTGCTACTGTACAAATTGCATTTGCATTCCGAACACCAAATTTACTTGTTTTAATCTTAAAACCATGGGGAATAACATTGCTGTTTTTACATAACTTCATAAAATAATTATGCTCATACAAATTAAAATTTACGAATAAAAAGCAATTTAATCATTTTTATTAAAATATTTTTAAATGAAAGAAAAGAATATTGTGTGAAAATAGACAAGTTATAACGTTGAAACAGACGAGTATGTCACAATTAGACAGTTAAGATGAATAAAAACAGAGGAGAAAATACCACTGGAGAGAAATCCTCTAATATGAATACTATTCAACCTCCTGGATCTGGAACTAGATTAATAAAAAGTTTTAATCAAATATTAAAACTTTGAAATATTTCTGTATATAAAAAATGAAATATTTCTGATCAGCCAAATGAAAAAAAAAAAAATACGCAAAAAAAGCTCGCGCAGTGGAAAGTTTTGGATCAAACCCCTCAACAAAATTTTTTTTGTAGAGAAGCAATTTAATTTTTAAAGAAAATAGTTAAAAATATTTTGACTCCTTCCACAATTTTGAGTATCTCGCGCCAGACCTGTTTGCATCCTTGATATTTAAAGTATAAGTATTACATCACTTTTTTTTCCGTATCTCATGATGATGGTCAAAAACGTGTGTAGTTCAGTCAAAAATTTCAATGAATCTACGCATGGAGATATACTTACAGAGATCGAAACAAACAAAAATAAAGTATTCTTTTTAAGCTTTCAATTATCAACACAGAATTTTAAGAAGTCCTGTGAAGTTGTTGATGAAATTGGCATACTAAAAAAGTTTAGGAATTATCGATGCATTTTTTCGCTCTTGAGATGTATAAAATGCAATAAAAATAAAACATAAATGTAAAAAAAAAATAGTATTTGGAGAATACTATTCCTAGAATGCAAATTTATGTACAAAAAAAATTGTTTATTTGTTCGATGGTTTTTTAATCGTTTTAAACATTACTTTATTCATTTTTCCCCATGTTTCGCTTGTTTTTAAATCGGCTTTTGTCACTGGTGTAAAATTCAAACTTTTCAGAAATGGTAATATATAGAGAATATACGATCGTAAGTAAGGTACACTAGCTTCAATGGGATTTTCATGTAAAGTTAAATATTTTAAGTCTTTCAATTGAACTAATTTTTTAGTTTCGGCTATGTCGTTGATTAAATTTTTATGTAAATACAAATATTTTAGCGATTTAAACTGAGTAACGACCTAGAACGAATTAAATAAAACATCCCTTGAAATTTCCAAATTGGTTTTGCATTAAATTTCAACAAAAACTTGAGCGCCAACGCATAAAAAGAATAGACAATACCGATCGACACAACATATGGCAACTTTATTCTGGTTCGACGGAGTTTTTTTCAATATCTCACGTACCACTGGTATTTCGGTGAATATATTAAACGATAAATCCAATGAATAAAGCATATTTGGATCAACTAGTAATGAAGTGACTACGTCTGATAGTCTCTAGATTTCCATTTAACATATTATGGTTTAGATTAATCGCCGTTGAACGATATCTTTCGCCTTCTTTGACTAATCCTGGCGAATTTGCAGCTACACGCGGTTCGGCTGATATTGCATCTAAATAAAGGAACACGCTTTATTATTAAGACAAACATATCACCGGAACAAAAAAAATAAAGTTGGTTTAGAGTTGTTGAAAAGTGAGTTTTCGTATTCAGCCCACTCGATAACCCAGAAGATTTTCTATTTTTGACTCGGGGTACTTCCGAAAGTTTAAGAAAAATTTTGAAACAAAATGGCGCAAAAAGTTTTCCATGGAAAAATAATACTAATTTGAAAATTTTTCCTAAACTTTCGGAAGTACCCCGAGCCAAAAATAGAAAATCTTCTGGGTTATCGAGTGTGCTGAATACGAAAAACCACTTTTCAGCAACTCTAAACGAACTTTATTTTTTTTCCGGTGATATGCTTCACAAAATAATATACCTTCTACACGTTGCGCGTTGTGAAATGAAAAATCGAGCGGCGGGTATGATTCAGTTGAATTATCAATACGTTTTTGGATAAATTGTTCAGGCGGCTTTTCATCCGTCATAATCCACTCTTTGCTTATATCATTTACTCACATATTGAAAGAGAATGGTTATTTGATCTTATTATATTATAGATTTGCTGAGATGAACCATGATAAATGTGTATGTTGCTAAGGTATGGTCCTTATCACTGTCCAATGAATGTCGAGAAACACAACTACGCACCAAGGTATCTCCTGAAATTTTTTCCATGTTATTACATGTATAACTCAGAAAATTATAGGTATAATTCGGTGTTGTTTAAAGAAAATAGTTTAGTATAGATGTGCAAAATCATCTGAGGTAGGGTATGATGGTGAGAAACTGAACATGAAATAGCTTCAGTAATGGTATCACAAAAGACCTGAATATCATCATTCTTCTCTAATGTGCCAAACCTTGTTTTTTCAGCTCATTAATCAAAATAAATCCCAAGACACTTTGTAATATAAACGGAGGCCATTTTTGTACTAGCTTTTCTAAAACTTTTTAAAACTTCAGCAAGTTACAACAATAGTGAAACCGACTTGTACCCAGTTGTAGACAGAACAAAGAGTATTAAAATATGAAGAGAAAATTAAATGAATGCCGCTAGGAATACGGCCGTCAGAGTGTATTGTTATAAAAGAATATGTGTATATGCAGACTTTTGTTTTGTCTTGTATAGATGCTTATAAAAAGCGTTTGTCTTACTACGTTGACAGTATATATTTCTTTCGAGAACTAGATCCTTACGTATTGGTTTTTCTTCTTCGAATAATTATTCTTTATATGAATGAATGTAAATTTATTTTAGATTATGGTTTGTTTTTCAGAGCATGATGTGACTAAATCTTGATCTTTTTTTATTTACATTTTATCGTATAATAAAGACGCGCTCATAATATCTATCAATTCATATGAGCTAGAGAGATATGGCAGTCAAAAATTCAGCAATCGGTAAGAAAACCATAGAAATATGCTATTTGCTTTGAACGCATTCAAAGTGAGATGACCGATTCTCAATAACCTATGCGTAACAAAAACAGTTACTTCTCAATACTTGAAATGTTTTGAATTTGTAATAGTAATCGGAATAGTTCATGCAACTAAATCCATACTAAAAAAAAGTCTTCAAAAGTATTCTTTTGAGAGTTTCAGTTCTTTTATGCTTTTTCTTCTATTTTTCAGAAAAAGATACCATGAATTTTCGTACTCAACTTGTAAATGGAAAGCCAGCTATTTATTTTGACCAAATCGGTAAGTGAATGAAATAAACAAATTAATCAATCCTTTCTATAGACTAGATTGAACTTATGGTTCAGTTGTGTTCATCTGGAATAATAAAAATAACTTGTTACTAAACAAATTTTTCTTCATTTTTACAGAAAAACAAGAACCAATAGTTCGAACAGCGAAAACAAAGAAAACAAACCGTGCAATGATTAATAACAATCGTCTTTTAGTAGATGATAAAACAAAATCATTAAATACCAGCAATACTAATAACAACACTCCAGGAAAAAACGCTATTCTCAAACAATCTAAACAACAACAACCAAATCGCACAGAAAAAGAGAAAAACAAAACAAAAGTTCATGTTAACGAAGATGGAACGTCACTTGGCGTGTATATGACAATGGATGAATTATCAGAGTTGGTTAAAGCTGTCAAAGAGAATTCCAAAGGTAAGACTCATGTCTATTAAACAATTTGAAAGAAAAATCTTAATAGTATGTATATGTAATGGTCATGATTTCATTTGTTTCTTTTAGCTCCGACAACAGTTGCTACAAATTTAGTAAATGAAAATCTCAATAATAACAACTACAATTACAATAACAATAACAATAATAATAACAATAACAACAACAATAATTCAAGTGGTGAGGAGAATCACATCATGATGTTTCACTGATATTAATTGTTTTGGTATTCTATGTAGAAAACGAACAGCATCAATATCATCAATCAAATGATGTTCGTCTTGATTTACCACTGTCGAATGGTTCCGATTATTCGACCACAAAAAATTATCAGTTAGATAATGATTCTACAATGACGAAACGTGATCCGGGTAGTCTATTGGCTGATAAAAAACGACAGAAATGGTTGAGAGAAAAAGGTATGAATTGAATCTAAATATGTCTTTTACTGATAATCAAAATGTTTCCGTATCTTTCTTTCAGTTGAAATGGATCGAATGAAATTAGAAGTTGAATATGATCAACTGAAACATCAGCTTATTGCTTCAAATGAGCAACCACCTTCACCAGGTAGCATGCCATTTTACTAGTTGAAAAAAACATTTCAGAGTATAAACACGACAAGTGATGTTCTTGTTTAAGGACGTCCAAAATATGGTTACGTAAACGCTTTTTCTTCGAAACCGCCTCTGCCCAGCGTTCCAACCCCAGGTCCTCCCTTACCGCAATCATTACAATCTAATAATGTTGGATATCAACATATGCACAAAGTAGAAGATGGTAAGAAAAAAACATTTTGTGAACTAAAACCGTGATTTCAATCTAAAATATAAAACCATTTTAGACAATAAATATGAGCCGAAAACACAGTTAATGGAAAAAAAACAACAGCAATGGAAACAAGAAAACGGTAGTTTACATGGATTCTTTTATAAATAAAAAGACTGACTAAATGAATATTTCTTTCAGCGGAGAAAATGCCTACGTGGAATCCGTTTGGTAAGCCTGGAGCAGGTGCTCCGCCAGGTACAGATAATAATTTTCGAACAAATCAACAGCCAAATCAGGTAAGTAATCTTTAGATGATGCTAAATTAAAGTCTCAATAATCTTGAACTTTTTTCTCGATTATTTATTTCAACTGCTAAATAATTGACTAAACATTTTTAAATATCTTTGTTAATCTCTTTTAAATTGTTTTTGTCCTTTAGAATATTAATAATAACGGTTATCCAATTCCAGTTCACAATGAACGATCTACAACTAATACTCACCAGCCACTACAACCATTGCCTCAGAATCGTCCCCAAACTCAATTTCGTTTACCCATTGACGATGATTTGTACAAAAATAGTAATTTCAATGATGGTCATTCATTGGCGACAACGTTAACTGATCAAACAAAAGTGCCAGCAGCAATGCGTACAAATTTACTATTTGGCGATGTTCGATTTGATGATCAGGTTAAAACGGCTAAAGAACTTGAGCGAAAACAATGGTTGGATGATTTAAAATTACAAATAGAAGAAAATAAACGACAAAAAATCACACAAAAAGAGAGTGAACGAAAACAAGATATTTTGCAAGAACAAATACAGCCACTTTTAGAAAAAGCAACGCATAACCATTATCAAAATCGACAACAAAGTGAGTAATCAATCTGACGGAAAGGATTTAACCCCGACTGACTTGAGTAGTAAAAAAAATCTTTCCATTTTGTCGGCTTTTGAAATATAAAAAAATGAATATGAGCTCTTACCGTAAAAAGATCCTTATGCTTTCAGATGGATTTAGTCAACAAAATTTATCACCAAGATCTAACGGTGATAAAGATAAAGGAGAAGCGGATAAAACAAATATTTTGGGACAACCGCCACAACATTCACAACCATCATCGGACATACAAAAATTAAATCGTCATGAAAATGTTGTTAAAGAAACTTACAATAAAATTGTTGAAGCAAGTAAAATGGCTGAATTTGATAAACGATCACAACTAATTGAAAAATTAAAGCGAGGAGGACATAAAGTTGATAAACTACAAAAAACTTTACCAGGTAATTCAGTTAAGTGTTGAGATAAACAAACTTTTAGAAAAAAACATCTTAGAATACGCCTCTTGTCACAACATGGAACAAACAATATTCTCTCTTTGATAATTTTTAGAAATTCGTTCGCAGAACAACAATAATACCACGACTAATTCACAGCAAAAAACCGGTGATAGATTGTTTGGTTCTAATTATGAATCGTCAACTTATAACAATTCTCATTACCAACATCAAAATAAAATGGAACCATTAAATTTACATAGTGACGCACATAGACGTGATGAAGCCGTAAATACTGTTGATTCAACGTTTCGCAGTGATAATAGTGTTCAAACTGATATTAAAATGCAACAAAATAAACAATTATTTCCATTTGGTCGAGAAGAAAGTGATTTGCCACCACAGGTTCCAAAACATTTGCTACATCATCAACGAAATAAAAAAAGTGTTCGAATTAAATCATTAGGAGATGAACAAGAACAACAACAGCAACAACCCAATAGAAACAGACGTTCATCTGCCTCATTTCGTACTCCAGAAGCTGAAAATAATTCGGGAGATACATTGTCACAGTTTAGTTCACGTGATTTAGTTCATCGTCCAAAATGGAATTATCAAAATCCTGAATATCGACAATACGTTCCAAATTCAAAACGAGATCCATTCTACGAACAACGACAACGAACAAAACATTTGGAAAATGGTAAGCTTTTAGAAAATATGAGTGTATGACATTAAGTAAATAAATTATTTTTTTGTTTTTGCTAGGTAGTTACGAAAATATTGACGATGTTCAAAAACAAACGAGTTATAATCGATGGAATAGTGATAGCGAATTGATTCATCAACAACGAAAGACAAATCAACAACCATCGCAAACTCAAAATCGTACAAGATCAACTATATTGAGAAATAATAATCAGAAAGATAAAGATGAGAGTATAATGAATTTATTGAAAGGTACTGATGGAATAAAACAACATCATCAACATCAACATCAACATCAAGAAGCATTTGTTACCAACGATAAAAATAACAACGATGATTTGAATTATGATAATGTATCATTGGATAAATATGAAAATTACGTACCTTATACGAGAACTGATGAAATATTAGATCCATCTAAAGCCTATTCACCAGTACCAAACTCGAGACAATCATCAGCTCAACAGCAAAATACGAGAAATAAAACAAAGGTACGATAATAATTATTAGAATGTGTTGCAAATTGTTTTCCTTTATATTCTGCACATAAATGTTAGTCTTCATGATAACACTTTGGTGAAGTTTCTGCCAAGGGATCATTCCACGTCATTCGGCCTAAAATATGATTTCATAACGTTTTCTGCTATTTTCTCGTGTTTATATATTTCGAATGGAAAGATGGCTAAAGGTCGCAATTGTCTCATTTTGTGGAAAAAAAACTGTAGTTACTTTTCCTCTATTTTTGCTTCTATCGTGTTGACCTAGTTTTTTTCGAAAATTTCGCCATCAAATCAATGAAACTTTTGTAGCGCGTGATTAGTTTCCTAGTTCGTTTAAAACTAAACCTTTTAAATTTGGCCTTTATTCTAAAATAAAACTATATTTATTATAATGAAGAATGAATCCTGGCAATATGTTAAACGACGAAAATTTCGTTATTCGTCAGAGGATTTTCAATAAAGTGACTGTTTATGCCATAAAACGATGTTTGAAGTAAATCTGCCATAAAAGATCAGAAAGCTCACACTTTAACAGCATATTTATCAAAATATTTACTTTGAACTAATTTGATTGCTTTATATGCTTAATGGAAAAAAAGATTTATAAATTAATTGAAAAGTTGACCAGAAAACACCATTTCAAAGCTTTTCAATATTTTTCGTCTAGATTTTTACTTTTTTAAAACGTTCAATATGTTTTTTGTATTAGTAGAAAACTGAATGACGAATTTCTTTTTAAAAAAGAAACAGTTCATAACAATAGAAACGAACAGAGAAAAAAAGAAGGATACAACACACAATCTCTTCTAAATTACCGTTAGAAACAAAAGTGCAGCTCAGCAGTATAGAACTCATAAAACTTAAAAGTTTCAATTTAATCAGTAACGTTTTGAATTTGTTGTTTGTTCACTCGTAGTGTTTTCATTCAAATGCATATTTTCTACTAAAATGTTGTCAGTTTTTGTTATTGAATATAAATATTAATATGTTGATAAAACAGAATAGAAATAGAACTGTTAGAGAAACAATTGGAGTTGATGATTGCTGGATGTTGTGTTTATTATTTATTTTTACATTTTACTGACTTTATTACTCTCACTTTTCTTTTCGATTCGATTCAATAATTTTCGTCAAAATATATATTGCGTCATTTGAACTCATTGAGCTCATGCTCTTAGTGGTAATGTGTGTTTTTCTTATTTTATTTCCATAAGTTTTAGTATTTTTATTCAATGTATAAGTCTATTTCTAATTTTACTTTTTTTTCTCTTTTACTAGAATTCTCAGCAGTCACAAAATAATTACGGTTTAACAGCTCAGTACAATGCTGATACACAACGATACAACAATGACCATAATCATTCGGAATGGAATAATAGCAGTCGAAGTAGTGCGGCTCCTTATCCATTACCGCCTTCAAGACAAGAACATATTCTTCAACAATTGTCAGCTATTAAAGAGGTAATGCATTTATTCATACAGACATCTCTTGAAATATATAACTTTTGTCTATATTTAGAACTTAGTGCGACGTCAAAAAGAATTAACATCATCGATTAATGGTATTCCAGTTTAAAAAGTTTTCGTTATTTTGTCGAGAAATGCATGTTGTCAGTATTATATATGTGTACATTTGTTAATGTATTAGTGAGATAAACTCCTCGTTCGCTCAAAGCGAAATATTAACTAGGGAAGATGATAGTAATTTTCTCTCTTTTGTGGTCTTTTTTTGAAATTTTATTATGGAGATCTCTAGTTACATCAAATTTACCCATTCTCGTCTCTGCATGCGTATTTTTTTTTCGATAAACTTTTTTCTTGCATTTATTATTTGACTATACACTGAGTTTTTGTTTATATGATCGATTTTTTTGTACTGTTTGTATGCGTGTGTGTTAATGTGTGGGCGTTCAGCATAAAAAAATTTGAACTAAAAAAGTTCGCTATATCATCAAAAGAAAGTGAAGTCATAAAATTTTGCAGGAATGTACAAATGGTATTGTATTAAAGCCCCAAAACTAGCACATCCTCTATGAAAATCAAATTTTGAATGAAAAAAATTAATAAAGATTTGTCAGACAGCATGTAACATTTTACTATCCATGCATATATTTTATAATTGTAAATTCATGACTCACTTCCGATATTGATAGAAGACCCCGTTGGGCGACAGGGCGAAACACGCCAATCTATTTTATCAAAATAATCAAAAGATACAAGCATAAATTCGACAAGCATAAAACTCGCTAATACATCGTTTGGTAGTAGCCCACTGATGTCGAGTACATGCCGGTATAGAACCGAATGGGCTTGTGTCAAAACATTGAGAGACTACAAGCAAGGAGCAGATACCTGGAAGAACTCCGAGGGGCATGTGTCCTTGCTTGGCAGTCGAAAAGTTAGTAAGTGTTTATGTATGCAGAATTATGGTTATTGTTCGAAAGAGCTAATTTCTGCTTGATAATGATGTTGTGGGATCAACCAGAGGCTGGTGTGATTGTAGAAAAGAAAGAGCTGGAAACTATTGATAGCGTAGGACCAGCTGGAAATTGAGACGTCTAGAGGAGGCGCTGGGGAGGTGGCGAGTTGCTTAAACTAAGTTTCTTCTCACTAGAAAATCAGAAATTAAGACAAATATAACAATTTTTGTTCTTCAATGGAATTTTCGTTCCAGGACTGTTTGACTACTATAAAATGACGGTGGCGCTTGCTGCACTTCTTATCCTAGTGAAAGTACTCATACGATGAGTACGACTTTACTCATAATTCGTCCATGAGTCCTCATATTGGTACTACTAACAATTTCTGAGTATTGTTACTCAGTGAGTACTCAGTTACTCATGTGAGTACTCAGGAAATATTCA